TTTTTCTTGGGTTCTAATTAAATAAAAGAATAATTTTTCGATGACTAGATTTCAGGCTATAAATAATTAACATCACTAAATTTTTACAATTCCAATTTTTTGATCAATTTAATAAAATTATAATACAAAACTCTTGAGGTCGACGAGCATGGCGGGGGAGACAAACATGGAGAAGTTCAATAAAAGAACAGCCCTTTTATCAAAGAAAGAGGCCAATAGAGGAGCCCTTAAATCAAGCAACACAACAATATCCAATAAAACCTTCTGTTTTCCCTTCTATTTTCAACTCCGTTAACACAAGCCCTACCCTGGTGCTACTGCTGCTTTATCGATGCCAAATGAAAAGCAGCTTGCCCTTTCCCTCCTTGTGCCACCGCCAGTGGCGGAGTCCCCTGAAATTTAAAAATTTTTATAAATTAATATGTGAAAATTTATCTTGCCCCAAAATTTAAAAATTTTATAAATTAGTGTGTAAAAAATTATCTCCTCCTCCTGAAAAAAAATTCTGGCTCCGCCCTTAGGCCACCGCTGTGAATAGCAAAGTGAACCAATAAAGATCCAAGTGGTTTTGCCTTTGCAGATTAAAGGTGGGGGCTTTTTAAGCAATCGTGTAAAATGGGATCTGGGTAAATTGGAGAAAAGTACAGGTTGCCTTAGTTTGTGTTATAATTTGTCTTTTAGTAAGTGACTGGCTAAGGTCGGTTCTCGGTACATCTTTAAACATGTAAATAAAGCGGCAAAATGAGAGCGCGGGTCTTAAAGAGCGGGTGTTAAAGAGCGGGTGGTTAAAGCGACTGCAGCTAGCAGTCCTCAATTAGTAACCTTCTACTATTTGATTTGATTTTATGATTATATTATGTTTTCTTTATCTGATTATTATTTATCCACAATGGCTGTAGTTTATTTTTATTTATTTTATTTTTTATTTTCCAAAGAAAGACTTCTGGTTTGACGTTCTATCGATTATCTTGGATTGATTTTGTCCTATTTCTTTTTAAATAATCAAAGTCATGCACCTTATTCCTTGAATATATTATTCCATTATAGTAGTAACCAATATTATGTGTATACCCGCATCTTGCTCATTGAATCGAGTAATTCTTATTACTTTGTTAAGATGTAATATTTTTTTTTTAAATTGGTTCAAACCCTTATAATATCTTATTCAAAAAATATATATATATATATATATTATGTGTATACCCATGATTTGTTGGATTTTTTTTTCTTATATATCAGTTTTTAATAATCGAAACAACCCAACATGTCAGTGGCTTGAAAATATCACTAAATCAAAAGCATATTATTACGTGTACCAAAGATTTGTTACAGGTTTGATTTTATAATTATAGTACTGATCCTTTAATTTCTGCTTTCACTTGCAGGCGGATCTTCGTGACAAAGCAGCTCTTGAAAATTTTTTTACTGAAACAAAGTAATTTCCCAGCTTATTAATCATAAATCTCTGTTACATATTCCATATATGTATGCATGGATGTATGCCCCCACCCCCCTCTTTTTTCTTATGTATACATAGCCTTGTACCATATGTATAAGCTTGAGAAATCAACTTTTGATTATCTTACTAAAAAAAAAGAAGAAAAAGAAAAACATTTGGATTACTTTTCTTTTTGTCTTTTCCTCTTAACTTCTAGTGTCATTTCCTCTTTATGCTGCAGGTTTGATGCTGTTATACACTTTGCTGGACTTAAAGCAGTTGGGGAAAGTGTACAGAAACCTTTGCTTTATTATAACAACAATTTGATTGGAACAATTACCCTGTTGGAGGTTATGGCTGCTCATGGATGCAAAAATGTATGACCCATTTCTTGCCCCCTTTTTTCTCTTCTATATGATAATTTACAGCATTTGGAATCATGGTTATAGCCTAAGATATAACTACTCAATTCTGTTCA